TGGTATCCCTGTAAAACTCATACGGTTATGCAGAATATCGTTTAGTACAACCATCAGTTCCGTGTAAATTGAGAAGGACCTTTTCGAACCGTTCGATACTAGACGAGGTTTTATACAGAGTAATTCCCTCTTGTGCGTCTTCTTCAATATAATGCTGAAAAAAGTGATATGCAGATGATATTGATATCGTAGGTTTTAACAAAAGAGACATCAGCGCAGCATTTTTCAGCCTGTAAAAAGAAGCGATAGGTTGGCAGTTAAGAAATTTGTCTGTCTTGGAATCAGCATAAATTCCACCAGTAATCTAAGCATGATGATTAGGCGCAGAAGAACTTTTGCCAAAAGGTGCTACTTTGAAATCAGGAGGCAGAACTTGGACGATGACGAACCGGAATGAGAAAGCATTTGGAGCATTCGATAAAACTGTACTCCGCACGATATTTGGAGCCGTCCGAGTGAGCGATAAATGTTGAATAAGATGGAACCACGAACTGTATGAGCTTTGCGGCCACATGAACATAGTTAACCGCATAAAAATGCAACAAATTCGCTGGTTAGGCCATGCATGATGATGCATTACTAGTCAACATATAAGAAAAGTTAAAGCGTTCTCGCTTGTGTCCATCCACATTTCGTTTGAGTAACATACTTAGCCGCAATTGCTTAAATATTAATAACTTTATAAATTATGAAAGAAAAAGTTTTTGTTAAAGGCGGTCACTACAAATCGCAATGGTCAACTAACGAGTCGATTTCTGTCATAAGAATAGTTTTGCCACATAACAGGTAGATATACTCAACAAGAGGGGAGAAACATCTGTCAAAATGGTATGTACTAAATATATGATAACAATTATAACAAATGTCAAAAGTCAGTGAGGTTGGAATACATATTTAAGTAAAGCAAAACAATGTTCTACATGTATAAATATATTCTTTTGATGTGGCAGTGTTGGTCTACCCACCTGCCGAATATGAAATTTTCATAAGCCACAAGGACTTTGCAATAATGTTGAGGCCAGCAAGGTTCGTGCGGCATTTGTTTAGCATTAAATTGTACAATAACCAGAGCGTAAAGCGAAAAATAAGAACAAAAGAGAAATAGGAATATTATTAACATAAGTTAGATGGTCTCCCCTATCATTCATAAACTAAATAGTTTTATGCACTTTGATGGTAATTATAATGAATAGCACGAACGACAAGTGACATCATTAGAAAGTCGCTGTCACTGTGATTAGCAAGCCATGAAAAGCCTACGTACATACACGCATACTTGCATGCAAGTGACGAGGAATTGCCATCGCAAACCAATCCTCCAACTAATTAAATTACTAACTAACTAATGAGCTTTGCTCGTTAAGTTACCTAACATTTGATTTGGTTGTATTGCTTATGCGCTTAAGAAGTTTTCTGATTTTTACGAGGTGTTATTTCCCGAGTATTATATGTTTCCATGTATGCCTCCGTTTATTACTACAATAACAAATGGACCTCATACATAGATGGCGCTAGTTTTATTGAATTCATCTCATTTTCAGTTAGTACTAACCTTCAAAAGACAGTTGTTAAAATTTCATGACATTTTATTCATTAGTTTGCGAGTTATTGTGTTAAGACTGAAGCTACTTTTGTTATTTTAAAAACAATAGATGATAAACAATTTCGTGTTTTAATTTTACACTGCTTCATGATTGCAAAAATTTCCGTTCAAAGCAAAGGCTTAGAAAGTGGTATGAGGATTCCGCATCATCAGAAACCACAATAAAACGTTGGTTTTTTGACTTCAAACGTAGTCGTAGAGATACCAATGATGTAACACCAGAAAATATAAAAAAAATCCGGAAAATTGTTCTGAATAATCGGAATTGAAGTGGCGTGATATAGCTGACATTGTAAGGATTTCAAAAGAATATGTTGGTTATATATTGCATGAGCATTTGTCCATGAGAAAAGCTCTGTTCAAAGTGGGTGCCGCGTTTGTTGACTGTTGACCAAAAACAGCAACGTGTTGATGATTCTGAGCAGTGTTTGGTCATGTTTATACGTAACAAACCGGAATACAAACGATCGTCATCTGAGTGGACAGCAGTTGGTGAACCTCGTTCAAAGCATGCGAAAGCGCAACATTCAGCTGTAAATGTTATGGCCTCGGTATTTTGGGATATGAAAGGTGTAGTATTCATCGACTATCTTAAGAAGGGAAAAACCATCAATAGTGACTATTATATATTGGAACGTTTGAAGTCCGAAATTGTAAAAAAGCGACCGTATAAAGCAAAGAAAAAAATTTTATTTCTTAAAGACAACGAACCGTGTCTCAAGTCAATCAAACCAATTACAAAAATGCATGAATTGCATTTGTATTACTGCCACATCCACCTTATTCTTCAGATTTGGTTCCAAGGACTTTTGGTTGTTCGCAGACCTCAAAAGAATGCTCGCCGATAAGAAATTTCGCTTGAATGAAGAGGTTATGATTGAAACTGAGGTCTATTTTGAGGCAAAAGGCAAATCGTTTTACAGAAGTGGTATTGAAATGTTAGTGTTGAATGACTGTGTTGCTCTTGATGGAGATAATGAATTCATGAATAGAGCCAATTTTGAACAAAAAAAAAAACCATGTTACCGTAACACCGGGACTTTTCAGTCCATGTGTTAGTTTTAATCAAATTATTATATAAATTCCATATCACGTAATAAAGTCAGTACCATGTAAAGTGAATGTTAGTCACTTAGTCAGATAAGGATCAAAACATATTTATTTTCGAAAGAGCTTTAAGAGTTCTAGCAAACAGTTTAATAAACCCGGAAAGTGAATGCATTAACAGACATAGGTAATATTAATTTAAAAGATGTACGAAAATGTGTTCCTGAGATATACTTGTAGGATTCGCCCGACACAAGTTTAGGTGTTTTGATGATAGCAAAATTGCACGAAATAAGCTTCGATTTTCGTTCATATTCTTCGTTTCTAGTAATAAATTAGCTTAATATAAAGCAGTAATTGCTGAGGGTGTAGACTATTTTAGAGCAAAAGGCGAATAGTAAACTAATGCATATATGATATATATAAATGATGGAAGTAATCGACATATCGGTCTCCATAATATTTATATTGTTTGTATTAGCAATTTTGCGAAGTTGCTGGAAAAGTGCGTAGTAAGCCATTTCACGGTCGGAGCTCACGAAGTGAAGTCTTCTGTCGAGAGCTCTAACAACTCCAAATTCAGGCTATCAGACCACTGCAGTGTCTTTCAAGCCAATGCTCAACAATCGTTTGTGAAGCTGCGATATCTTTCAGATCCAGAGTGGAACATATAAAGCGCTTTGAACTGTGTACGCTTAGAAAGATTATTTTCGCCGCAGTAAGAGTTTTGATCGGACACTGTTTAATAGGCCATCCAGAATTGATATTATCTGCCTTTGGAAATTTATGATAGACTTAAAATGATTTATTGATTTATGAGATATATATTTTTGTTGGGAATCACAAAGGATCATCGTTCACAGCTGGCTAAGTGGGATCCTTTGATGTGAGAATCAGCACCGTTACCTAACCTAAAAATGCCTAAATTTTAAAATTTATTCTGTGAATATTATAATTTAAATTGCGGCTAGTGGGACAATATTCGCAATAAAAATATACATATACATAGTGAAAATTCAGTTCCGAGAAAAATTCGAAATTTTAGGTACGTAATTTGCCAGACTCAAACGCGCCGATACCAAAGCGGATTGGACATCGGAATTTTTTTTCACCATTACCCCCTAAAATACATTTTACGCTAAAAAACTTTGTTTAGTCCTAGACTGTCTGTACTGTACATTTTCAGCCGTCACGGAATGTATAACGGGGGTTGTAAGAAGTGGCAAACGTTCATTCCTACGACAATCGGGAACAGACCTGAACTTTTATTCAAACAAGGACTGTGAAATGTTTTCAGCCACTATAACGATAACATAAGCATCAAACGTCAGAAATATAAACGATATGATAACTTCGGACGATACACTAGAAATTTAATTTTTTTTTAAATAAACACAAAATTGTCGTACAATTATTTTTTGTAATAGGATATTTCTATCTTCTGACAAAGTGTCAGAAATGACAAGGTCGCTAAATAGATATAAGAAAAATTATCATAATCATAAATCTATGTGATACTAAAAGCATAAAAAGCACGTGAAGTATATGGTAATAAAATAATTTTTATTCAAACCACTTTGTCAGCGAATTAGTTCGAGGTGAAAGATGAGTTACTCAGCAATTGAGGCGTTGAATGTAAATAAGGCGAATCCTTGACCCAATTCGAAATGAAATAGTTCTTCGACACGCTGACAATATGCATACTATGTATGCTTGTATGTGTGCACTTTTTTCATGAATATAAATATATAAACTTTTTTTTTTGTTTCTTGACTATTTACGTATAAGTATGTAAAAATATTGTTAACCACCTTTCTAAACCGCAAGGAGGTAGCAAGTATTGCCAACAATCATCCATTTCGCACACCTGCTATTTGTGTGTATGTATGTATGCACATCTTGAGCAAATTTCAACTGCTGCTGCGACACTATGAGAATGTAAATGAAACAGGAAGAATAAATATAAAAACTAGAACCAACCATCATGTCAAGTTGTGGCATAAACTTGCTCGTAGTTAGTCCCCTTCAACGTCAACAGTTTTGTGTGAAAGTTGCACTAATTGCATTTTAAGTTGTTTGTTTGCTAAAACTTGGTGTTGTCGTTCTTGTTGTTAGCCGCCAACAGTAGGTGTGTTGACAGAAAATAAACTTATTAAGTGTGTGTCACTTAATACAGCGAGTAGCGAACGATGAAAGATGGACCACTACGTACAGACACACTCCCACTTATCTCACTCTCTCACTCGCTCACGCATACATACGCATTTCAAAGTATCAGAGTGCCTCTTCCGACGTTACTTAAGTTGCGACATATCCAATAACGCCATATGTTGCACAAAGTACACATTACGGTGTCGTGTTGCATGATGCCGCCACTCGCTTGTACAAGTATGCGTAATATCTGTGGCGGCAAAGCGTTACTTTGCTGTTTACGCAATTTACTGCCTGAGGGCAAACACTGGGTGTCGTCTCTATTGGGCTGGCTGATGTTCAAACTAAAGTACATATTTGCTTTGGTAATATGTATTTGCGTATGTACCATATATGATGCGTAGGTAGAGTTAACCGTATAAAGAAGAGGTTTCAATTTGAACTCTCCGGGCAAGTTAAAACACTTCCAAAATTTGGTATACGTAGTCAATCTGCTACTACTTTGAAGGGAATGTTCAGCTGCATTTCTGGTAGTGCTTGCGAACAAAGCTCATCCAAAAGAGTTAACGGACATGCCTTGGAAAATCACTTTCAATAAGTATCGAATTCGGTGTAGCAGCACTAAATATTATATAAATATACAGTTAAAATAACAGCCTTTCTGGATTCATTATGATTGGAAATGGATCAAACCGATCGCATAATCTTGTTGGAACCAAATATTGTCAGGATCAACTTCTTCCAATTGCAGCCATAAAAAGTTTGTTATCATCCATCTATACCGCTTTTCATTGACAGTAACGGTGTCACCAGCTTCATTTTGAAAAAAGTACGGATCGATGATTTCACTAGTTCAAAAACAACATCAAACTGTCAATTTAGGTAAATGTAATGGTTGCTTATAAATAATTTTTGGATTTGCTTCGCACCAAAATCAACAGTTTTGTTTATTTACCCCACCACTTAGATGAAAAGGAGGCTCATTGGAAAAGCTGGTTTTCTTAAAACAATCGTTATCGTTTTCAATGGCTTCAGTTTTTAAGTGAGAACAATTTTATATGGATGCAAGCCCAAATCCTTTTTCAAGATCCACCAGGTTGTGGTTTGAAGCAGTCCCAAATCTTGAGAACGTTTTCGAATCGATACATTGCTGTCTTCAGCGAAACTTGCCTGAACGGCAACAATATTTTCATTACTTCTAGCGGTTCTTTGTCTTAATGGCAATTAAACATTATGTAAAGAAATGTATTTCAATAATTCGACGAATAGCGAGCACAGGTGGGTGAATATTACGAGCATAAGACGATTATTTTTGATAATAAAATTGAATAATTTGTAAACGTTGTTCTTGCATATATTTTGGAAATTGTAAACATTACTGAATACAATGAAGAAAAAACTACAGATCATGATATATCAAAAATGACCGAAACTACACTTAGAAATCATACTGGAAAGCCCGATATATTGATTCATAATGGTCATCTCTGATCTTTTTTAATCGTTTCATATGTCAACACTGTCACGCAGGTAGACTAACGAAAGCAATAAGTGCCTGATTTCAAAGATTACTAAGATAATATACCCAAATCGTTCGAATATATAGTCCATATTGTTGTAATGGCAGAAAATGTTGCTCACATAATTTTGAGGAATGCTGCAGAGTAGCTACGAATATAGTCCTTTGAGTTCGTTAGTTTAGTTTTGCTGCAGTCATCACTAAGAGACTTACCAATCTAAACCTAAAACAGTAAACTCCGGTTAAATACTAGTAACATAATACTTGCTAGAGATTATCACCATCACAAATATATACAAGCCAAGTAATTTGAGAGCTATCAATGAGAATACTTAATTATCTATTAAAAAAGTCGCAAAAGGTGCCAGAGTTTGACGACTGGAGAAAATAAAGTATTAGATTTCATTGACCACCTCAAACACCTAATTCAACGTATATATTTATATATTATTATAATTGTCAAAAGCATAATGTTTAGTTGAGAAAATTCGTTTATATTGGTGTATTGCTAAGAGTTCTAACATAAGTCAATAGTAATACAGAATATTTATATTTCCAAGGTCAATAGTATCTTCACATTCTTCTTGTAAGTGGAGATTTTTTCTATAAGGAATATTTTAATAAATACCGGATAATCTGCCACCTTCAAAAGATTTATAATAGGGATAGCGCTAGGCAAGGTTCAAGAAGACCAGCTGATAAAACGTTTTTCTCAAAATTAAGCGGATTAACAAAAATAAAAAAAGGCACAAATTCTCCACAAAAAAAGCGTCCAGCAGAACAGACAGCGGGTTAAAGAGGCAGACAGAAACGAATTATAAGCATAGCAAGGCAAAAGAGAAAACGTATACGTACGTATGTGGCAATAAATAAATCATAGTGAAAGTTCACAAGTTTTATCCTTTGGGTGAACGCGCAAAATAAAATTCGTCGGTAGCGTCGCTGACGTAAACATACTCAGCACCATTATTTTTAAAAGTGCAAACTATCCAACGCATGGTTTGGTGGTGAGCCACTGGTAGCCCACTCACTTGATTTTCTTGACGCGCCGTTGCGCAAATAAATTGAAAAGTTTCTGAATTAATTTCGTGGTTATTTCATGCGGTGTAATTAAATGGAGCTACTGGCTCTACCCTCGTAAAAGCGCGCTAAAAGCTCCATGGAGTGTCTAAGACGTACGGTGTGGGGAAGGAAAGAGCAGAGAGTAAATATTATAATTCCATGCCCAGGGTGGATATTTGCTAACACTTTTCATTTGCAGCTGCTTAATTAACTTTCGTCTTCTGCGGCTTGATGCATCCTGTTTTTGACAGTGGCGGCAACTTTATATTCCACATTTTCTTTTGTAGCTTAAACTTTTGATACAAGGCGCAGTTCGTATGAAATAAAACTTCATAAATGCAATAAGTATGGCATATTAAGAGATTAACATTGATGTTGTGCAGGCTTAGTTGATTGCATTTGGTACCTGAGGCAAGTTTCGTATTTTTCTCGCCTTCAAAGACATCTAGTGTCTACCATGGTGGGCAAAGCTATTTCTTAGCATCACTTTGAGTCTAGTTACGGTAAGTAGACTAAGCCAAGTGAAGAAACAAGTTTTTTTTGTTAGTGGCGCGATCCCACCAAAACCCAAAAACTTTTCTGCCCATCTAGTAGATTACTTAAATAGTCTAACGGGCTACCTTTCCAGCCCTGAAAAAAAGTGCCAAGTTTTCAACATCTTCTAGAAGCATGCCATTTTTGGGCGTGTCGAAAACTTTAAACACGTTAAATGCTATTAAAATTGTTCTCCCACCGAAATGATTTTGGTTAAGGATAGCTAGATGTTTATGGCTAGTCGATAAGAGTAAATTATATATAAGGGACGCTATAGCTCTCATTTTTCAATTATCCAAATGTGGAACCACTATATCGATTTCGTACTCACCAAGTATTTTGAAAATGGTCAACGGCATGTTAAAAATATCGGTGAGGTAGTTTATTCCCAACAGGCTAAGGTGGTTTAGCAGTAAGTTAATCCCATCTGGTCAATATATAGAAACCTGAACATCTTACCCGGTAAAAGTGGCGCATCATCGTTCTATATTTTGTACAGCCAACAGGTTACTCGTTTTTCGATGTCATCCATCGGATGATGCAACATAAATTTTCGACATCTACGGGTCTGAAGAAATATGACCAACGAAAGAGAGTAAACGGTGGTTATACTCCCTTGAGTTTTATAGGGGTTTAACGGTAAACCAGAGCTTATATAAGCAAAAAAGAAGAGCTGAGACCTCTAAGCTAATATATGCATTTTGGCGAGTATACTTGAAAAATGTTTTTTCACAAGACAACAAAAATTATGAACCATTTTTGTCTTGCTTCAAATAGTCTTACTGCTTTGGGAAGAATAAATGATTTAAAAGGATGTTAGCCCAAACTCAAATACGAAGTTGTGGTGCGCGTCTACAATGGAGACTCTACAAATTATACCCTATCCGGAAAGCTTTAATAGTTTTAGGTATGTGGAATAGAGCTTTTAACGTCAAACGAACCCCTTTGCTATCACAAATGCGCTTGTGGGTTCAATATGTTGTCATCTCAAATAACCTAGTATATATATTTACAAAATGAACACAGTATCACATATATATAGTATATAAACAGTGTCATGACATTGCGTTAATAGTTTTGCTTTGCTTTCGTCCTTAAACCTACCGAAGGAGGCAAGTCTAAGCCAAGTGTTATAAAGCTTTCTTGTAAACAAACTTCTATTCTTTCTTCAAAAATATCATAAATTCGCGGATGCTAAAGTAAAGTGACACATAAAAAAAATTCCATAATATGCCTTACATCATCTTGCTTGTGACCGCCGATTGCTTCGCATTCAACTTGTGTCTCTGTATGAGTATGTGTATGCGTAGTATTACTACAATGCGGCCGCTTTGCGACCAGCAAAGCAATGATTTTTACTGTTTGCGTGCACAAAAAAATCTGAAGGGAAAAAAATATAAAAAAAATTATACACAACTCGTAGCGAAAGGAAACGAAGGAAATCAACGCAAATATACTCGCAAGAAATTGGTGAGGAAATTTCCAGTTGACTTCTTGGTATTCTTGGTTGTCTGTGTGGCTGGTTGCCCGCGCCAGTTTGGCGATTAAGGCGGGCGTCACTGTTACTAAGCACGTGGCTGGCTTTGTACACACATACACATACACATAATAATATGTTTATATATAGATATAGATGCAAGCTTTTTGAGCACAATGTCAATGTGTTTTTCACTGCCAACTGGTGACTCGACAGGGAGTGCAAAGCGTTATAGCATGGATAAATGCGTACATATTGGGGTCAAGAGAAAAAGGTCAATTTGGAAATGCTTTAACAGTGAAAGTGTGTGTTAGGATATCAAGTATCTTAGTGCAACGGCGGATATGAGGAAGATACGGCGCAAGCGGATAATATTAATAAACTCAGCGCTGCAATGGCAAGTGCTAAGCGATTACACTTTATAAATGAGCAAATAAGTAGGTAGTGGGCAGACTAATTACACGAGTGCAAACAAAATTAAACCTAATTTTCTTAACCACTCGTGTTAGCTTTACTCTAGGTATACACTTAGAGTGATAGCCTAACAGAAAGCTAAAAATACACCGTAAACATTTTGAAGAAAATGTACAATTTTTCATGCGATCTTCGATGGCGGTAAAAAAGAACCTCCATTACTGCAGTGATTGCGACCTTCTCCGGGTATGAAACTTAGGACCAAAAATTCTCCTCACTAGAAAATAATGTCCATAGAATAGTCTGCAGTCGAAAATAATTAAAAAATTGACAAAAAAGTGGCGATAAA